CAAGACAAGTGCACTCGAGGATAGCTACCTGCGCGCAGAAGTGGTTATACGCTGGTCACCTGTCCCAGGTCTGGAGGCGGCGTTCGCGAACGGCTACGCGGAAGACTTCGCACTATCTCCACGTACTTCACATGTCAACATCGTGCAGCTCTATGCGCTGCGAATGCTATTTGGTATCCGACCGCTGTCCGGCGGCGCTGTCAGCTCGTGTACCACACGCCACGAACCGTTAAAACCCCTGCTGAAGCAGGTCCTGCACGCCGTACTCGGGAGGCAAGACGCTGACCTAGGCCATGAAATCGGCTGCAGCTCGGATATCGCTAAGCCGACCTCACCATCACGAGTGTAGACTTCCGGTCCGTGACAACGGCCTGCACTATCAGCGACGCGATTGTTATCCTCGACATCGCTCAGCAGGCAGAGTAGCTGTTATGCCCCACCGAAGCCAAAAGAGAGGCATCTCTCCTAGAAACAGTGGCTGCGCATGTCAGCTAGAGGATGAACTGAGAGTTTCCATAGCTGACTGAACGTCAACCTCGCTGCATAACTCGGCGCTGTGGGCATCATGAGATCCCCCGCTTGACATTTAAGAACTGTGTTTCTCGACGCGAATCGGAAGTTTGTGGCTCCTGCGTTGCTCGTCGAACATGGTATGCGTGTGTCATTTGTATCCGAGAACTATGACCGCGACAGATCAAGCGGTCGTCAATCCCGGGAGATGCTGATTATCAGAAAGAACTCACAGCTTCATGCCTCGTGGCCCGCGCAATGCAGCCCATCGATGTCTGTGGCAGATGCAGTGCAATCAGCTATCTGGACTACTTTGATCTGTACAAGATCTAAGTACAGTGCTGGACGCGATATTTAATTCTGCTATGCTTCAAGCTGATCCACGAGTCACTAGTCACTCCGCATCACGTTATCCAGGCTGACGGTGCATAGAACGACATACATAGGCCGTTGAACTGCGCAAACATATTGCTTGAGCGACCTCTGGAGCCTCCCTTCGGGCGTGAAAGCAGGCGCACCAAGCTCCCAAACCGGGCAGAGATATAAACGGGCGGCACAGCAGCGGAGGCGCTACCCGGCAGGACAACTGGAACCACCGACACTCTAAAACAGCTCGCACCACGATTTTATAGCATCGGGCTTGTCTCACTCAACAATTTTGATGGACTTTGAGATCACATAGTCGAGGGAGTGTAACACGAGGGTGGCCGCACAAAAAGTGGATCGGCGTCGGTAAGCGGCACCTAAAAAGGAAGTGTCAGAAGTCCCTCAAAATTGAACCAAGACCCCAGAACCGCTCGAGCAACCTTACCCCCACCATCGCCCTCGACGTCGTTGACGACGAACACGCACTCCCGCACACCAAATGGCTCCTCCGAAGCGGAAGAGTGCCAAAGCGGCACCGCAACGTAAGTTGGAAGCGCGACTGCGGCGGCAATCTGCGTTTTGCTGACCACAAAGTCGCCAAATCTCCTTAGTCCGCTCTCGCACGACTAGGAGCCGAGGCAAGGTGCTTCTGTTGCGTTCTTCCGGCCGTATAACGTCTCATTTTTCTCCCAGGCTCTTGCAGATCCTGCAGAGAATACTCAGAATCTCAACGAACAATTGCGAGCTCTCGGCCTTTACGCTGCACCAACACTAGGTGACGGCAACTGCCTCTTTCGCGCTCTCTCCGATCAGCTGCACGGCACGCCGTCGTCCCATCTCAAACTGCGCCAGGATGTTTGTAACTGGATCGAGTCACACAAGCAGCGATATGAGCCTTTTGTCGAGGACGAACGGGGATTAGACGTCCACCTCCGGTGCATGCGACAGCATGGTACGTCGGAACTGATGTTATCTACGCTGATCTCTTTGCTAATTTGCTGTGAAGGGACTTATGGCGGTCACCTCGAGCTGTCTGCGTTCGCACACATGACCAAACGCAATGTAAAGGTTATCCAGCCCGGCCTCGTGTACGTTATCGAGTGGAACGCCGGTGGCGATATCACATCCGAACGCTCGCCATCACCAACATCGTCAAGACATGCATCACCGGCACTCAACACATCTAATGCCGCTGACAACGAGAAGACTTTGACGCGACGAGAGCGGAAGAAGTTGGAACGGCAGATGGCCGCCGTGCGGCTACCGACGCCGCCACTAAGTGATGATGGTGCTGACTCTACAGTTTATGTGGCGTACGTCTTAGCCGCTTTTGGTGCTTCTGCGTACTCATAGTTTTTTGATGCAGCTATCATGACTGGGAACACTTTTCCTCGATCCGAAATCTGAGGGGTCCACACGCGGGGCTCCCGAATATTCAAGAAGCGCCTGCCGATGACGCTGAGCCACCGTCACCTCCGCCCACTTCGCCGGTGAAAAGAAAGCCTTCGTCAAGAGTGGTCTCAAGTTCAAAGCCATCAACGAAAGTGAAGATCAAGCGACCTTCAAAGCCGTCAGCGCCTGGGCGTCCCTTGACACCGTCGCAAGTTCCACTCCCTCTTTCTCGTTCATCGTCCCCTCCACCAGAGGCATCTTCATCTCGGACACCGCTTCCCTACCCCATGCCGATGGCACCTCCAAGCCCATCGCGAATCTACCGCTCGCCGAAGCGGACATTCGACGAGTCATCCGCGTCATCTGAAAGCTCGCAGTCGCTTGCAAAGCGGCACAAGGGGACCTCCCGTGCGCCCGAAGAAGAGTCATCCGTCGCCGACGCGCACTCGCGCTCGCCTTTGGGTCTTGGACCAGAGGATGGTGAAGGCGACATGGATACTCCACCATTAACACTCTCCGCGCCAGGGTCGCCCTCGAGCATGAGCTCACTTTCAACAATTTCTTCACCTGAAGCGACGCCGCCGCCTCCCGAACGCGAAGAGCGCACGCTCACGCAGCGACAGATCAAGAAACTTGGACTGCCAAAATCACGTCATGGTTCACCATTGCACACCAAGCGCAGCGCAGGCAAGATTGTCGTCCCTGGCGGACGCATGAAGCGCTCTGACACGGCGTCTGCTGCTCCCGCTGGTAACGGGAAGGTCGAAGAGTGGCAGAAGAACGGGACGGGTAGGCTGGATGTCCGAGGCTTCCGAGAGCTTAAGATCTAGACTTGACCACACGATCCCTTCGTTTCGCACCGTCCAGCATCACTAGCACACGCACGCGCGCACTTGCGCTCTCTGCCATCCTCTAGCCCCAAGGCGAACACTTTGCATACATGTTCTCATGCACGCACACGCATCTACAGTCGCATCTCCCGCACGCACATTTGCTTTGTTGCACTCATTAATCAGATACCCTCGCGCACCACATCTTCCTATCACGGATTCTTGACTGTCCACTCTTGTATTGTCAGCTCACGGACGTCCATGATTTCATAGTTATCAAGCCTGTATCACTATTGTTAATCATCACGTCTCTTGTCGCTTGAGGATACCCTGGCTGACACCTTAATCTGGACTTGTCCTTTGCATGGTCGGTGCAGGTCGACACAACTAAGGTGAGATGACCGACCAAGCGTTCTCGCACTTGCAGCTCATGCATTTCCTTTGCAGGCATGCATCCTTTGTAGTTCGCCGTCATGGATCAGCTGGCTTTGAGCCAGACCGTACATCGCATCCCTGCCGTCATCCTCTTCTTAACCATACGCTCAGGCGAAGGGAGATCCACTCGCTGGTGTGTCACGTTGCGACCTTCTCATTTACTCCCGGGCCGCGTCATGAGGTCTGATGATGCACGGGCATCATCGTGCGCGGCTTCGCAGCCAGTGCACTAGGCATATAAGAGGGCCATACTGCAATAGCAGCGACATCTTGTCTTCGCCGTTAGACATGCGTCTGAGCGGTGCTTTACTTGTGCTGCTGTCGGCAGCAGCGACTGGTCGATGTGCGGCACCATCTGGACCTTGGGACACATTCAACCTCGCACCTGCGACCAGGGTGGTACGGCCTACGGGCCTGAAAGAGGTCGTTGGTGCGGTCCAGAATGCTCAAGGTCTTCTGTCAGAAACAGGCGCCGCGACGTTCTCCGGCAATGAGTCCTGGCTGACGCTGGACTTTGGTAAGGAGGTGCGTCTAGCCCGTCCAATTGCCACGCATTTTTGTAACTTGGTATTCGACAGGTCGGGGGGCTCATCTCGATGACACTTGAAAGTGCTTCTCCCTCTTCCTCGCTGGCCCTGTCCTTCACAGAGTCGCCTATGTTCATCAGCCCGCTGACATCTGACGACTCATCAAACTCCGCACCGAATATGTCCTACGACGGCGTTCTGCACCTGCAGACGCCGCTACAGCCCGGGCTATGGACGCAGCCATCTGTGAGGCTACGGGGTGGCTTCCGGTACCTCACACTGGTGTCTACATCGAACGCAGCCATTGCCGTCTCGAATGTGTCATGTTCCATCTCGTTCATGCCGCACGTCGACAACATGCGCGAGTACAGTGGCTATTTCTATGCTTCTGATCCGGTATTCCATGACAAGGACTTTCTGACCAAGGCATGTGCAATAGTAATCATAATCCATGTTCTCCTCTTGATTGACAGCCTCATGGCAAAGATCTGGTATTCGGGCGCGTATACAGTGCAGACAGATACGGTACCGTTGCACACCGGCCGACAGATTCCGGCTGTGTCGTCGCCTGGATGGGCGAACAATGCGACCTTAGGTGTTGCAGGCCCTATCATTGTCGACGGAGCGAAACGAGACCGGTCAGCACCGTACTGCTTTTCTTTCTTGAGCTCGCCTAACCTTCACCTACAGTGCGGTCTGGCCAGGTCAGCTACGTCCTACCTGGTTGAATGCTTGTATTGCTAACAATCGACAGGTGACATGGGCGTCGCGGTCCCTACACAATTCGTGTCGACAAACGACCTCGTCCCGACGCGGAATGCACTCTCGACGATGTTCGCCGCGACGAACCCGTTGACGGGCGCACTGCCTGAGTCCGGGCCACCGCTCTCGCAGATGGGAAGTGACACCTATCATATGTGGACGCTCATCGGCGCGCATAACTACGTGCGCTTCTCGGGCGACACCGTCTGGTTAAGTGGCGTGTGGGCGAACTACACGAAGGCGGTCGGGTTTGTGCTCGGGAAAGTCGACAGCTCTGGGCTTATGAACGTCACTGGTCTCCGCGATTGGGGGCGCCTGGAAAGCGGCGGGCACAACGCCGAGGGCAATGCCTTATTGTATCAGGTGAGTTGCGAATTCCTCTGTGGGTTCGCGGCTAACGTTGTTTATTTGGGTATACAGACTCTAGCCACAGCCACGGACCTTGCGAATACTCTCAACGACTCCGCCTTGGCTGCGAATTGGTCCTCAAGCGCCGCAGCGCTGAAGACACGCTTCAATGAGGCATTCTGGCTACCGTCCGCGGGCATGTATAGCGACAATGAGACGACAACGCTTTGTCCACAAGATGCGAACTCGATGTCGGTGCTGTACAACCTGACGACGTCTGCTGAACAGGCGAACTCAGTCAGCGAAGGTCTGACGAAATATTGGAATGACCTGGGTGCCATCGCCCCTGAGCTGCCAGATAACATCTCGCCGTTCATCGGGTCGCTGGAGGTGGGTCATGGGTATGCTTCCTGGCTATTACAATTATTTGACGTTATTCATTTTAGCTCCAAGCGCATTTTCAGTCCGGCAACGACCTGACAGCCATGGACTTATTGCGTCGGGAGTGGGGGTATATGCTATACACCAACCTCAGCGTGCAGTCAACGTTACTGGAAGGCTTTACCTCAAACGGTTCCCTCTAGTGCGT